TCTCTTACTTATTTATTTTTCATTGAGGAACAATGGAAATGGAGAGGCTTAACTAATTGAATAACCAGGTAGCACTGAGTACCCTTTATGAAGCTAGAATACCCAACTTCTTAGTGAAGAGTCTGTAGAATTAAATGATTTTCTTCTTTAGTACTTGGCAATTCAGGAGCAAGACTCCTCCCCCCTCCCTTCTTTGGGATTGTCATGTTTGTCTTACAGTATGAAGTGGCAAATGAGTAGAAGGAGCTAGGGGTAGTGTATTTTAAATGTGTCACTGTGGTTTCAAAAAAGTTGGATAGGGATCAAAGGAAGCTGTGGAAAGCTGACAAACTAGTTTTGATACAATTAAGTTAGATTTTCACAAGGGTAAAGAACAGGTTTTGTGTAGAAGCAGGATGGGGGGTTGAGTATTAGGAAGTTCTCATGAAGGGTTTACTTAATAAGTAAATTGCTGAAGTATGATATAGATGGTTTTCAAAGGTATAGAGAAGCTTGAGGAACTATGAGACTATGGTAATGTCTAGATTATAAATTTGTATGTTGAACTTATTCAAGGTGATAATGCTATTGGAAAAGAAAAAAATTGGGCTTATAGAGGAATGCCTTGGAGTTTGCTAGATGAAGATGATAAATTTATGTTGTAGGATGATATAAATTTCAGAGGAGGATCTGTTAAATAATTGTGATGGAACAGTGGTCTTGAGATCTCCTACTGAGTAGTGGTCTTAAGATCTGTTACTGAGCCGAGAGAGTACTAACTGATCCATAGGAGAGTGGGCAGAGTGGATCAAAGAGATCTCAAGGGGACAAGTAAGATGGAAAAGTAAACAGAAGTTTCAAGAAAAATTACTCAAATTATATTTCTGAATAATAACTTAAGCCTCAGAGGGAGTTATAGATACATCAAGAAAGGCACCCTATCATTAGCAGCCATCTTTTTTTTTTTTTTCCATGTGAATTAATTCCCCTGGGTCCTTCTGTGTCAGTGTACTTTTGGACCATTTCTAGAATATACTGTTGTAATCTTTTACAATTCTATAAAGTCTTCGAGAAGATCATAGCTGTAATTAAAAAACCTTAGTCCTTTCCTTTGTGGAGTTTTCTCTTTTTTCTTTTCTTTAAGGAAAAATGAAATTTTCTTCTAGAGTTAACTCACACTTAGATTCTCCAGTTGGTTTTCTTTGCTGAAAGGCTGGTGAATGAGCTTTTGGCTTCCCTGTAAGCCCTTTTAGCAAATCACTCCTCTGTTCCTTCACACAGTCAGTTTATTCACAAATTTCGGAATTCAATTCTCACCTCCCTCAGTGCTAACATCAAACTCCTTGGCCAAATAAAGTTGTTAATTAAGACTGCTCGATATAATTCTCACCTCCCTCAAGTGTTAACTCCAAACTTCCTTTATCAAATTATATGTAGGAAATATTCTCCATAATTGCTAAATCTTTTAGATATATTCTCCCACAAAGTTATTCATCCATTCCAGGATTCACTACAAATTCTAAGAACAAAATATCCTCTTCTAAGGATGGATTGATAGTTTTAGGAAAAAAAATTCAGTTGAAGGAAAATGAAAAACTGTATGTAGAATTAAGCAAAGTGCATGTATAACCAAAGTTTTGGCGATGTGTTAGAGATTAATATATTGTTGAACTCCAAATAAATGAAAAAATTAATGAATTATAAGGTCATTTGAAATAGATGGTGAATAACTTACTACATTGGCATATCAGATATTAACTGTCTAATATCCTTTCTCCCACAACTAAATAAAATTATTATTTACTATATATAAATCATTGAGGGCTCTATGTTAAATCTTTTTTATATATACCGGATATATATATAATTTCATGTAATTCTCATTACTCTGAAAGGTGTATCTGAAAAAATCCATTTTATAGATAAACATTAAAGCTGAGAGTTTATGTAATTTATCCAAAGTCATGTAGCTAATACCTGTCAGAATGGGGATTTGTGACTCCAGAGCTATTAGAGTCTAATGCTTGCTTTAAGTGCACATATTCATTATTGTCCTTACCCTGTGAACTGTAATTTGTATTTTGCTTTTGCATTCCCAGCTAAGATTATTAGTCTTTTAGGGCAGGGATCCATCACCCAGCATTACTTAGACTCAAAAGATTATGAAAAGCTTTTATTCAGGAAGCATTTCCTAATAGGGATTGGTGAGTTGAACATAGTTGGCTAAAACCATGTGGAAAAGAACTCATCAGCCTTTGTTTTCATTATAGTAAGGTCACATCTCTCATGGGATTAGGTTCTAAAATTAGGAGATAAGGTGAAAATCATGTATACATAAAATTACCCTTGTACTCACTTAAAGCTGCAGTCCCCAAACCCTGGGCCACGGACTGGTGTACTGGTCAGTGGCCTGTTAGGAATCGGGCAACACAGCAGGAGGTAAGCAGTTGGGTGAGCCAGTGAAGCTTCATCTGTATTTACAGCCATTCCCCATCGCTGGCATCACTGTCATTAGCGGTGGCATTAGATTCTCATAGGAGCATGAACCCTACTATAAACTGCGCATGTGAGGGATCTAGGTTGACCATTGCTTATGAGAATCTAATGCCTCATGATCCGAGGTGGAGCCGAGGTGATATTGCTAGTGCTGGGGATCAGCTGCAAATACAGATTATTATTACCAGAGGTTTGACTGCACAATAAATGTAATGTGCTTGAATCATCCCAATACCATCCTCCCCATCCCTACCCCTGTCCGTGGAAAAATTGTCTTACGTGAAACTGGTCCCTGGTGCCAAAAAGTTTAGGGACTGCTTACTTAAAGCACTTGCAAGTATGTTACTTTGTAAATGGTTTTGGTACTACAACCCTTACCATTTCCTCTATACCTTTGATAATATTTTTATAGACCTTAATTCTTAAGTTTCCCTCATTTGCTTGACACCTGAGTCTCAAGATATTTTACTTCTTTATCAAAGATTGGAAAACTCTCATGTCATTCACATGTTCTTTTCTGGGATTGGCTGATACATGTGAAATATTTCAGGCTTGAGTGCATCTATAGTCAGTTTAATATAAATGATGCTCTAGGATTATTGCTGAGCTTTCTGTCTAGTTGAATTTTTTTTTAATGTCTTCAACTGCTTGTTTAATGATACTTGCTTTAGGTTGCAGTATAATGTTTCAGTTTTCTCTTCTTCATGATTTTTTTTTTTAGGGAAGTATTTATCAGTTGAAGAATTTTATTCTTCCTGATTTTTTGCAATAGCTCTGTATAGATGCTCTTGATCATTTGCTGCTGCTTTTAAAATACTTTTTTTCTTTCCTAGACCAGAAATAATAGTTTATTTATATGTGGGGGTTATGGTTAGACTTTTGGGTGGCCTGCTAGTTTCTTAATTCAAGTGCCCTTTTCTGTTCATAAAGTAGAATAGATCGAGTGCAGCAGTCTTCTTTTTTTTCTCCTCCTCCTCCTCTTCCTTCTCTTCTTCCTCCTCCTCTTCTTCTTTTACAACGGTGTATTTTGATTTTGTAAGGATTTTTATTTCTGTAGGTCCCTTTCCGTGACTCGCTTCTCTATTTCACTGTATTACTAAGTCGCCAATGCATGTCTGCCTCTAAGTTGCCTCCGACTTCACAGAGTGGTGTATTCATAAGACCACTGTGTTTGTTCCTGTGTACTTCCAAGCCCCTTCCTTTACAATGCTCAGTAGCCACTGTTCTTAACCATCTTATAATATCTTAGACCTGGCCTCAGTATTTTCCAATTCCAATGACTTCTTCTCTTTCTTGGGGTGATTTTTATCCCTTCTTCCACCTCTGCTAGGATCTCTCTTGTCCTCTTTTCTCTTCCACAGTCTCCCTGTTATTTCCTCTTCTTGCATAGGTTTCTGAGGTTGCAGATGTTAATTTCCTCACTTTCACATACCTTTACATTCTGTAGGATTCTCTTTATTCTAGTTACGCTATTGGCATGAGCAGTTTTGTTTGTACTTTTTTATAGAACTACATGGTTTTTGGAAGTTTTTGATGGTTGTCATTATCCTATAGGAATCCAGTATTTTCTAGGTATAGTTTTCGTCTTAGGAAAATTTGGAATCTGACCACAAATAAGAAAGTTCTTTGAGGACAAACTATTGGACAAACTGTTATTCTAATATTACAGTGATGGTGATGATGTGTTGATGCTAAATCACATGAAGTTCACGGCTTTGCACTTTCTGTGTGCTTAGTAGGATTTTATTGAATGAGATAAATAAGAATGTTTTCATATTGATGAAAAACTCAGTGAAAAGTTACTCATTACATGTTTACAGAAGTAATAGGATAATGTTTTATCTTTCTAAAAATGCTTTGTGAAGGTTATGACTGAAATAAAATTACTTTTAAAAGTATAGTCTTGATAGCTACTCTCAAGCATTCAAAATAAAGGTCAAAGTGTCTACATGTTAATCTCAATCTAGAAATACTTACATATAAATTCATGTTAATAAATTAATATTTCTGCTAATTTAAAGCATTTTCCTTGGTTTCCCATGATTTTAGTATATGTTAGTCATTTAACATATTAAATAGGATTCACCGTTTTTCGTGGTCTGAGACCTTAGTCCTTGAATAATTTCTGTTAAGATATCTAGGAATCTTGATCCCCTGGGGGTAACTTAGTACAAACCAATACTTTTTCAAGTAAAACTGCTTCAGATATATTCCTTCCCTGTGGTAGATTGTTGTCTTTGTCAGTAAAATACAATGAAGAAGTTAACTCCTTTTATTCATCAGAAGATAGTCATTGTAATGAATCTGTTCAGAAAAGAATTAACACAGCAGCCCTGAGACTGTTATTTAGAAAGGCCAGCTCCCAGAGTTGGCCCTTGCCTGGTGTATGGGAACTTGGATTTTGGGAATTTTCTCACCATTCCTTAACTG